AAAAATAAATTCAATTTATAAACTTTAGTGACGATGCAACACTGCCGCGATTGTGCAAGTGACAGTTCCTGTGTCAACTGTGCAGCGTGCAGCTCGCTTATAGTGCAGAAGCGATGTGATTTAAAGCAATTTGTGTATTTTGAGAGGGAAAGAGAGCACGCGTGTGGTGATTCACTCACGCTGTTTGTGAAATTATGTCCCACAGAAGGTTTTCAAATTACTTTGAGTTATTTAATGAAGAAATATGAGTTGCATCTCACCTTCAGAATAATAATTATTTTACCCGCGCCAGACTGAGACTGTGCTGCTGCATGTCATGCCAAACCTCTCACGGCAGGCGCGGTGCCGCTGCATGTCGTGCCAAACCTCTCACGGCAGGCACGGCATTAGCTTGAGATCGTTTTTTTGAGATCAGCCTTTTTAGAGACCGCCGATCAATCATCCCAAAGTGATTATCGGCCGATAGTGATCGGTAGCCGATCAATCGGAGCACCCCTAATTCTGAGAGCTCTCTGACCCTCCCATAGACAGCAATATAATTACCACGATCGAGGTCCAGAAACGTAGCAAGGAGGTCGGTAAAATAATCCATGTGACATCAGGGGTTCAAACTGTAATTTTACGAAGCTACGAGAATACTTTTTGTGCGCAAAGAAAAAGTATTCTCGTAGCTTCGTAAAATTACGGTTGAACCCCTAATGTCACATGGATTATTTTACCGATCTCCTTGCTACGTTTCTGGACGTTGATCATGGTAGTACCCTTGCCGTCTACGGGAGGGTCAGAGAGCTGTCAGAATGCATCAATCAACCGTAATTTTACGAAGCTACGAGAATACTTTTTCTTTGCGCACAAAAAGTATTCTCGTAGCTTCGTAAAATTACCGTTGAACCCCTGGTGTCACATGGATTATTTTACCGATCTCCTTGCTACGTTACTGGACCTCGATCGTGGTAATTATATTGCTGTCTATGGGAGGCTCAGAGAGCTCTCAGAATTCATCAAAAATATCTTAATTTGTGTTCCGAAGATAAACGGAGGTCTTACGGGTTTAAAAACGACATGAGGTGAGTAATTAATGACAGAATTTTCATTTTTGGGTGAACTAACCCTTTAAAGAAGTTTTGCTTTCTAACTATTAGTGCTAAAATCCACCTGCGGTTTTTCAGCTGTTTAAGTGGTTTTTATTTCAGTTATTAATGTATGCTAATATTTAGCTACGTGGAGGCAAGGCTTGAGTCCAGAGAGAGATGCCCTGCCCCTTCCTTTTTAAATTTTTACCTGCCCCAAATACCCCTCACCCCTGGCCTGTGCACGGGACTGTAGCGCTGCTCAGACTAACATGCGCCCCCTGCTGTTTGCATGCAGTCACTGCATCCAGCAGATCCTGGAGGCGGTGCTTCACTGCCATCAAATGGGCGTGGTGCACCGAGACCTGAAGGTAAGTGACGGTTGTGATGTCATCGCTGCCCTTCGAGTGTGTGAACTTGTGTATGCGCTCATAAAAGTTGGTATGTAGAAATCCGTGCCTACCGCTGTGTCGATTTGACTGACGTAATTGCTGATAGGCGCTTTTGGTCTCCCTGCGAAAACGGGGGGGAAAAAGATTGAGAACTACATGGGAGGTCAGTCCGATTTCACACAGTGACAGTGCATGGCGTACGTGCTTGTGTGTTGCTGTGTTTGGCCGCTGCTGGTGATAAATTCACTTTCGTGAATGTTCAGGTAAGACTGCGCTAATTGGACTGACTTGAAGAGCGACATTGATTTTAGTTTATCAATCAAGATAAATGTCTCTTTTGAACTTCAAAAGTGCTCCCACTAAAATGTCTGTAATAATAATATAAATAAAAATAGACCAAATTTAATTAACTATGAATATAACTCTTATCTAGATTGCTTTTATTGACCAGAGAGTCAGTGTAGACATCAGGGTCCCAGTCCCAGACCAGTTGTCATGTCCAGGTTTGAGTACACTACAATGGCATTTGACTGCTCCCTTCTGACCTTTGACCTTTTCTAAAATGCAGTGTGCTTCTGGGAAATGTTGTTCCTAGATGTAATTCAACTACTGTCAGTCTGTCACTTACGCTACAGTACCTGGCATGCTTTGCAGTCAGATTACATTGTGAACCGGCCAGAAATGAGCCTAGGATGCTTATCATAACTGCCAAAAATATCCCATGCCTTCTGTACGAACACATAGTTAGCGCTTTGCGGTTTGTCGGCGAAGAGAAGCCGCTTCGGAATGCATGCTGCATGTTTATCTGTTGATAGCAATCTTGTAAATTGCTCGTTTGTCTTGTTTGTTTGTCTCGTATGCATGTGTAAGTGGTTTGATTGTGACTTGTATATATGTAATGTCACTTTATAAATGCACATTTATCTGCAGGTTTACTTCAAAATGCACAGATCCTTTTGAAAATGGTGCACTTTGTATTGTGTGCTTTTATTGACATGTTGAGTCTGTAAAGAGCACGTGCGAAATTACATCCAGATGTATATCAATAAATCATGTGCTTCAATACGATTTAATTAGCATAGAAATATGAAACCAAAATATAAGTTGTCATTTAGCTGAAAACAGAAAGGTTTTGGTAATAATTACATTTGTGTAATTGGATAATTGAACTCTGTATGCTGTTCAAGCTCAAATTATAAATTAATCCAGTCGTAGTAGTTCTTTGGAACAAGTCACCTCTCAGAATTTCAAAATTATTTAGTCTGAAACCAAAAATGTATTAATAGTTTGTTTTTTTTTTTTTTGCTGTTTTATCCGAATATTGGATCATGAACGCTTGACATACCTCCCTAGTTCAGCTGCAACCATAGTTATTTACATGTATTAATGTCTAGATCTGCGATAGACTTCAGCAGATGATTTTCAAAGAATTTAGGTTAGAATTAATGTTAGAAAATCAAAACCAAAAATCAAGTGCCAAGTTCTCGTAGTAAAGCTCTTCAGCAACAAGCCGTCTCTCAATGTTTCAGCTGAACTACTTTTAAATATTTCTATTAGCATAATATTTCATCATGGTTTAGTGTGTCCATAATGCTGACATGCTTACCTGTTGTGGCTTATCTAAGTTTTGTGGATAAAATATGGTAATATGTGTCACTCTTTACAATCGTTACTCTTTTGAATCAATGATTTTGGCCTTCCGAAACGTTTTCATTTAAAACTGCAAATTCATTATTTTTTGATTTTTCAAATATGTACAGTTTGTGAAATTTTGGTGCATCGCTAGATTTAATCCATTTAGATTCAAGCTTCAGTTTCACTGTAGCAGTATCCAGAAAAAGAAACCAGGTAAATGCTAAAAACAGCATTGTTGCGGTCAGCTCCGTACTCTACTCTGACAGTACCAGCACTTTGGTTTCACGCTATCAGTGTCTGCCCACACTGGAGTGCCCTTCTGAATGGAAGCCTGGGGCATGCGCTCTTCCACAGCGGGAATCTGAGTGGGCATGACAGGAACGCCACTGCAGAAAAGAGCAACGATCTTGCGCACACACACACACACACACACACACACACACACACACAGACACAATAGCACACGACACGTCTATCAACACCCATGCTTTTTTGGATTTTACTGAGCTAACCAAGTAAACTAAACCAACTCAAGCCAATTTAAGCATTGCATCCAGCTGTGTTTGTCAGTGTATGCATATATATGTACTTTGATTCATAGCTGTGCCCATGCTGATGAGATTTTTTCTAGAAAGTGAAGTCATGGATTTCACTGCAGAGGTTATACGCTTATGAAAGAGTGTTGGAGAGAGATTTTGGCAGATCTTCTTTGCTAGATTTGTTCTCAGAGGGTGCTGTTCATCAAAATTCCTCCCACTACTGAGGTTTAAGGCTGGGATTAGCTGCTGGTGTTCCAGCCCTCAACAGTGCACATGTTTAACCTCTTTTTTTTGGAAGCACTCTGCATTAGCTATGCTATGTGCGTGCTGCTGAGGATGGAGACCAATCTAGGAAATTTTAATGAAGGGATGGTGGTGAGGTGATTGTGATAATGAGCATTATGGAACAGGGATAACAATGTAGAAAAGTAGTAAATACCCCCTGGCTCAAAATGAAACGTTTAGGAGCCAAATTTGCTCCATAGATATGTATACTGTAAATGCCTCGTTAGCGACTGTTTCGATAGGCCGCTGTATGTAAGACGTCCACCAAATTGGAATGGTCAAAGCTGCTCTGTGAGCGCTTGAGAGCAAGTTGACTCTGCATCTGCAACCATAGTTACTCACATGTATTAATATGTAGATGATTTTCATAGGACTTAGGTTATAATTATAAATGTTAGATAATTCTACATATATGCTAAAAAAAATATTGGTTGATGTTCTTTTAAATATTATTGATCATCAGAGAACCCTACGGTCAATTTGCTTTTAATTTCTAATGAAAGCAAAGACCTTATTATATATGAACGAATATACATATAAACTAGCTGCACAATTAATTGTTAAAAGATTGCAATCTCGATTCAAACACCCATGCGATCTTATTTCTAAATGACGATTCCTCTGTGTCTAGTCAAATAACGTTTGTTGATTACAATGTTGATTACATTTTCACCACTAGGTGGCGACTAGTGACTGTTCAAAAATGCATTAAGCCCGGGATACACTGCACGATTTTAGCAATCCTGTAAGATCATTACTTTATCACACGGTGCGACATGGATCGTTTAAACTTGGGTACGACAAGCATGTAGACTGTACGATGATGACACCTATTGAATCGTAGGCTGCGACGGCTGCGACACACGTTAGCGCAATCAGCATGCGCTAGTGGTAAACAAATACCGGTACATCAAGATGGATCGCGCTTTGGCAGTTGTGCTTTTCATGTGCGCTGAAACAAAGAAGAGGCGCCGGCGGAAGGGGGCAAAATGGACCCGCTCGGGAAAAGAGGACAACTTGGGATGCCAGTTTTGCACAGGGAGCTTGGCAGCTGTAGTTCCTCCCCTATCTCCTTCCATGCTATGTCCTTTTTGGTGCGGTCATGATAGCAGCTAGAGGACACATCGTACAAACATGCCCTCTGCTGCCACAACTCAACAAGAATTTGTTCTTTATGGGTATTCCACATACCAGTATACCTTCTACTTTTTTTTTGCCTCCATGACATTGAAATTGTAGCGCCGCTGGTCGCGTGGATCAATACGTCATTTCATGTTGCAGTTTCATTGGCTGTTGAGTAGACGCAGGTCGTTGCAGCAAACACACTGTGCGTTGATCATGCTGAATTTCTGACACTGTCAGAAAACTATCGTAGGCTATCTTTGGTCGCAAGACCGGGAAAACGCCCGTCTTTGAACCTCTCTCACTGTACGACATAGGACCACCGATTAAGAGCCACGATCACAGAAATCGCCACGATTGCTTCACGATGGCAATCTTTCGTCTGGGACAGCCAAAAATCGTGCAGTGTATCCCGGGCTTTAGTCATTGAATCATTCATTCAAGAGATTTGTTCAACACTGCTGATTCATTCAGTAATGGAGCAAGTAAAGTAGCCTATTTATGTGAGTCATTGAATTATTCATTCAATTTTTTTTTTAATAATTCATTCAAATTAATTAAACAGTTTTCAATAGAATGAGGCAATTAACATTTTGTCATGGCCTCTAGTAAATTACATGTTATTTTGCTTAGTTCAGAATCGTGGGAGAATCGTGATCTCTATTTAAAATAAAACAAATCATGATTCTCAATTTATCCAGAATCGTGCAGCTCTAATATAAACACTTCAAAGGTTGATTTTGTAATGTTTTAGAAAGTCTCTTCTGTTCAACAGTTATTTGTTAAAAAATACAGGATATAGTAATATTGTGAAATATTATTAAAATAATAATTTTCTATTTTAATATATTTTAAAGTGTAATTTATTCCTGTGTTGCATCAGTCTTTAGTGTGACATGATTCTTCAGAAATCTTTCTGATATTCTGATCTGACGGTCAAAAACTTTTCTTTGTGCTGGTTAATATTTTTGTGGAAACCAGGATACATTTTTTTAGAATTTCTTAAAGAATATAAAGTTTAAACGAAAGTGTTTATTTGAAATAGAAATATTTTGTAACATTATAATGTATAACGATAAATAATGTCTCTACTGTCACTTTTGATCAATTTAATCCATCCTAGCAGCATTAAAGTATTTTTATTATGATGATTTTTTAATAATCTTACCGACCCCAACTCTTAAACGGTAGTGTATATATTTTTGTCACAGTTTGAATCATTTTAGCTGCATTCTCCAACATGAATAAGAAAGTGAGGGAAGTGAATGTTAGATCCAGCAGACCCTGCAATGCAGGAAAAGCTGCTTGAGATTTCACTATCTGGTGCAGTGCTTAAGGTGTGTGTGACTGTGTGTATTTGGTTTGTTAGCCTGCTCTTATAGATCAGTGTTGCTAGCACTATGATTTATAAGATCGTGTCATTTGTGTGCTAGCGGAAGCATCGGGAGGCACTAGAGGGGATATCACATTATTAGCATCCCTCAGTGACAGAGAATAATGAGGCTAGAGCTAGATAATCTGGGTCAGTTGGGAGGAAAACACGCACATGCTCTTATTACCAGTGAAGACAAACATCATTTTTTCCCCTGCATTCTTCATTTAGAAACAATCTGCAGTCAGAAAGTTCTTCAACTAATATCACAGAATCAGATTTGGGAGGTTGATTATACACTGCGTTAAATGTGCGCTGGTTTGTACGTTAAGACCATGTGATAGCTATCTGACTGTCTATTTTTGTTGTGAAGTGTGTGTTAGCATGCACAGTGTAAGTGTGTGTGTTTGAGGCAGTAAAGTTGTGTGTTAAGGCAGGAGAAATGTCTTCATTCTCCCCTCAGCCAGAGAATCTGCTCTTGGCCAGTAAGTGCAAGAACGCCGCTGTGAAACTGGCCGACTTTGGACTGGCCATTGAGGTGCAGGGAGACCAGCAGGCATGGTTTGGTATGTAAACATTGCAAACCTGTAGGCTGATATAGAGAGATGCCCATGTGACTTGTCACAAACACTTTAGAACTTGATTGTACTGACTGCTGATGCTTTTATTGTCACATTTTACTGTGCATTTTACAGGATTTGCAGGGACACCAGGTTACCTGTCCCCCGAGGTGCTGAGGAAGGAAGCATATGGCAAACCCGTGGACATCTGGGCTTGCGGTAAATAAACTCAAATACAGTGACAAGCAAATGCTCATTCCGAAGAAATAGTTTTCTGTGCTGTCCATCAAAACTAAGCTGTCTTGCTGCCTTCTCCACTGTGCTGAAAAAAAGGTCTCCTAAAGCTGGACTCCTGCCTTGGTCAAACTGGTCTGGTTGTCTGGTTTTAGAGGGTTTTACATATGTATGTGCTTAATAAAATATCCTGCAATTGTCCATTTGGTATACTAAACTAGTATACTTAAAGTCTGCTAAATTGGAACAATTAGTTTTGTGCTTAATGCGCTTTAATTATGCAGAAATAGTGCTGAAATCCATCTAAAGATATACTTAAGGATATTTGATTGTGCTAAAGTGCAACTATTGCAAATATACTTCAGGTACAATTTACATACCTTGCATTTAAAGACTGATATTATTCAGAGATCATACAATGATTATTAATAGTCTCAAGTAATATGTCATTAAATGTTAATGGATTTGAAGTATGGTATGCTTAGTATGAAATAAACGTATTGTAAATAAATGATGGCATAGGGTGACTATACTGTATGCAACAGCCTCAAAAATGTTAATAACAACAGAATGATTCTGATTTTTTTCATTCTCTTTATTAAGGTGTGATTCTGTACATTCTGCTGGTTGGATATCCACCTTTCTGGGATGAGGATCAGCATAAACTTTACCAACAGATCAAAGCAGGAGCTTATGATGTGAGTTTAACATCTTTTCAGTTTTTTTGCTAAAATACTGTATTTCAAATAAAGGTTTTAAGTTTAAAGGTTTCTCATTACAAAAACTAGAGCCCGACTGATATATCGTTTTGCTGATTGTATCAGCCGATATGAGCCTGTCGCAGATATATCGGTATCGGCGAATATGCCGCCAATATGCCACCGATATGAAATTTTTTTTACAGAACATAAAATGCAAATAAAATGCTTGTAAATGGTGTAATTATGTAGTTTGTCCTGCAGAGCGCGTTCCATTGTTTGCTACTGGCGATCTGGATGAAACGCTTTAAAGTTTAGGTGTATGGAATACCATTGAAACTTTGAATGGTAACAGCGCGGCGGATCCGCACCAAATTCGGGAGATCCCTTCAGCTCGAGAAACCCTCTCGAACACCGAATCGAGTGTATGTCTCAACGCCCCCTTTCGAATGAGACCACCCCTGCATTGATAGCCCCCGGGGTCCGGGAGTTACGGGCAGTTAAATTCGCGGTCGGACACCGACCGATCTGGCGATCTCGGGTGGCTACCGATGCATGGAGGGTGGTGTTCGAGAGGGCTCCTCAAGCTGAAGGGATCCCCCGAATTTGGTGGAGATCCGCCGCCGCGTTCGCGAGATAGTGACACCACACTTCACATGATATTTCGCCATGATTCCAGTTCCAAGGGAACGTACACGGTACATTCAAAGGGCATTAAAGTGCGCGAGACATATTCTGTTTATGTATATACTGTATTCTATATATAGTACCAGTCAAAAGTTTGGACACACAAATGGGAAAGTGTCCAAACTTTTGATTGATACTGTACTTTGTATATACACAAAGAATATCGGCCGATATATCGATATCGACCTTTTTCTACTCCATAATATCGGTATCGTATCGGCCCCCAAAAAACCCATATCGGTCGGGCTCTAATAAAAACATTTATTGCTATCACGATTTTGGAATATCGCATTGAGAATTTCATTAGTTTAACTCAAGATGGCACAATGCATTTTTATCACTTAAAGACATTGTTTGTCTAATAGAGAAATTGAACAGATTTATTTTAAAAATCATCTTTCCAAAAGTTGCTTATTTCTTACAATGACTGATTTATTTGATAAATGCAGCATGAGTGTAATTTTTTATCATATTTTATATATGAAGTAATTTCAGTATTATTTTACATTGTTCAAAAATGTGTTTGAAATGGTTCAAAAATGTGAATTAATACTCACTTTTGCCCGATATGCGCCATTTTGGCTGAGCCAGAATTGACTCGTATAGCTGCATAGTACCAGTTCAGGACATTGAGGTGATTTTATTTTTCTAGGAGAGGCATGATTTTGAATCAAAAGTTACACAAACCGCAAATTCCAACAGGTGTTTTATTTGATGCATTGCAGTGCTTGTTGACAGAGTAAAGTTATAGTTGTAGAATCATAATTTTTTTTTTTTATTTATTTAATAGTTTCCATCTCCAGAATGGGACACAGTTACTCCTGAAGCCAAAAATCTCATCAATCAAATGCTAACCATAAACCCTGCCAAGAGAATCACTGCACAGGAAGCTCTCAAACACCCATGGGTCTGCGTACGTATTCACCGACCCGCACATGCAGACATATAAACACAAAAACAGCAAAACACGGGTCTAGATGTACAGTAAAAATCTTTTCCCTATTTGTTTCCATAGCAACGCTCTACTGTGGCTTCCATGATGCACAGACAAGAGACTGTGGAATGCCTGAAGAAGTTCAACGCCAGGAGGAAACTCAAGGTGCATTTCATGGTCACACACACACATGCTCACTCAATTCTAATTTTACACACGCAGAGGTTATGTTTCTTCTCTCTCCTCACAGGGGGCCATCCTCACCACCATGCTTGTGTCACGGAACTTCTCTGGTAAGTTACTCGGGTATGATGCAGATGGAAATGAACTTTAGAATGGTTTTGATTGACAGCTGAGTTGACAGGTGTGTGTGATTTCTGATTGGTCTGTGTATGTTCTTACGGCTCTCCAGGGAATCGTCTGTGTGTCTTTTACATCCCCACTCCATCTTGATGTGATGTCGTGTGTCAAAGATGTACTTGTTTTGTGTTCAAATAAAAGTAACTCATGGGCAAGATTGTCCATGCTATACAGGGTTTATATAATTATACACAGATTTTGTGGCCCTGACAATTATTTAGAGACTTAAGTTGTACTTGAAGTTGTATATTGTTATTGCATTAGATATCAAACCAAATGGCACCCAAAAACAAATGCTAGAGGGTCCCTTCAGTTTTCCACGTTTCTACTATTGCGGAATCAATAAAATGTAGCATTTTTGTGATGCCGCATAATAAGCCAATAAAAGCTAAATAAAGCAAAATAATCACAAAAAGCACAATACTATGTGAAATTATTGATGCGGTAGTGTAATAAACAAATATGCATGAATGAAAAAGTAAAGTTTAAAAAGAATTACATTTGATTATTCAATTTCTGTAGTATTTTGCACCTGTAAAAATGTTAAGTAGTCTCATTTGTATCTTTGTCTTATTGTTTGTAATTTGGTTCTTTGTTCTTATTTAAAAAATAACAACAATAATTTTCCTAAAGGTTTTGTGATAGAAGTGGATAAGAATATTTTTTTGTCATGTACATACACTGAACAAAATTATAAACGCAACACTTTTGTTTTTGCCCCAATTTTTCATGAGCTGAACTCAAAGATCTAAGATTTTTCTATGTACACAAAAGGCCTATTTCTCTCAAATATTGTTCACAAATCTGTCTAAATCTGTGTTAGTGATGTATATATATATATATATATATATATATATATATATAAAAATAAAAAAAACATTGCAAGAAATTACTGCCAAAAAATCAGTCATTTTAAATGCAAAAATCACAAAAAAGATGGAAATTTCATTTTTGGGTGAACTATTCTTAACATTTTATATTTTACTTTTGAATGGTTTAAATATCTTTAAATATTTTTTAACAAATTACCACTTCTAAATGCCACTTGTGTCAATATCTAATGTGATGCTCATACATTTTTAAGTGTGGTTTAAGTGTCCACATACTTTCTGGGACCACTCTCTATATACACAGTTGCAGTTTTCATGCTCGGACCTCACAGATATCATGCATAATACAAAATAACATGCATTCTCACTGCACATGTAATTTCACTCTCTCTCTGTCAATTCTCCTTTATTTAACTGCATCCTTAATGGGAATTCAAATGGTTATAGTAGCACTTTCTGTCTTTTGATCTCATCTGTGATGTCAGGGCTCTGCTTGTAACCTCTAGATGATGGTCCAGCAGAGAACGTTGATAAACGTGTGTGGTTTTGAATGTTAGGAGGGATGATTCCCTCTGGGTCAGAGTCTTGTCTTTGTTGTAATGAAAATATGGCCCTTCTTTGAGTGGGGATTGTTTTGTTACAAGCCACCTGTCTCAGAGAAATAAAAAGAAAATTGGTTTCACGTGTTCTTATAACTGACAGTTTCTTCTCCCATAGACTAATGAATGGTTCTCTTTCACTCTGCCCCGTTTCCTCTTCCCTCTCTCTCATTTTGTTTGTGATTATGTGTGTGTGTTTGTTAGTGGGTAGCAGGCAGACCACGGCTCCCGCCTCGGTCACTGCGGCTGCGGCTGCTGTAGCCGCGGCTGCAGGCACCACAGCAGGGCTGGTGGAACAAGGTAGTGCCGCCCTACAGGGCCCAATTCCTCTGCCCCTTTCTGTCTGTATGCTCCTCTCTGCATATTCCTCCCATTCCTTCTTTCGTTCCCATTTCTATTTTCTATTTACTTTGTTTTCCTTTGAAATTCTAGTTCTTTCTTTTACTTTCTGTCTTTTTCCCTTTTCACTTCCCATATAATTTCCTCCCATTTTCTTTTTTCATTTGCCCTTTTCTGTTTCCTTTTTCCATTTCCTATTTCCTTTGCCATTTTCCTCTTCCGTTCTTTTCATTTCCCTATTCCATTTCCTTTCCTTTTTGTTCTTTTCTTTTTCATTTAATTAATAAATTTTCCTTTCCATTCCTTTTCCCCTTTCATTTCCTATTAACCTTTTACTTCCCTGTTCATTTCCTTTTTCTTTCTTATTTCTTTGCATTTCCCCTTTCTTTCCATTTTCCCTGTCTCTCCCCTTCTATGTCCTTTGTCCTTTTCCTTTCCTCTTGCCTTTTCCTTTCCCTTTTCTCTTTCCTTTGCAAGTTCCCTTTTACTTCCCTATTCATTTTTTCTTTCCTTTTCCTTTGCTTTTCCCAGTTCTTTACATTTTCCCTGTCTCTCCCCTTCACAAGGGTACATGTCAGTTAATTCTCTATTTATTATTGTACAAACAGAGGCTCATATACATCCTTGAGAACTGGTATGAAGTGGTTTAATCGAGGAACAGACAGTTTTTTCCCATTAGGTATCAGAACAGAAAATATAGGTGACAAAAGTATGTTTATTAAGCAAATAACGGTTCAGTATTGCAATTAAGAGCTATGTAAGCATTAATATTTTACATTGGCCACTTAAAATCTTTTATGAATTAGCTCTCTCATGATTATAACTATAAAACTAGCCCTATGAAAAAGTGTAAGATAATAATCAGTCCCCTTGACTGATGAAGTTAATACGCATGCGCAGGCAAACGCTCAAGCTCGTCACACACGATCCGCCTACTCTTGCATAATTGACACCCTCTCATTAGCATGTTG